ACACACACACACACACACACACACACACACACACACACACACACACCATGAAACTTTACCAAAAAAAGAAAATAAAGTGGTCTCTGACAACTCTATCAACATATAAAAAGAAATATTCTAAATACTTTTGGCATCTTCAGTTTAATAATTTAGGACTGAGTTAGGAGGAATATGTATTGAACAAAGAATTTCACAGTTGAGGAATAAACCTGTTGATGTAACTGCTAAATAAACTCAAAGAAAACCTTTCACATTTCTGTATGGCAATTCCTTCTTTTTTATAGCCTAGGCTACGTGAATACTTGAAAAACTTAAAAGTGATCTGTTTGCCTACACACGTCTTCTCCTTCTGCCTCTACGGGCACCTGCACACACACTTATGCCTCTCCCTGTCTTCACTCTTTTTTCCAAACCACGGATACACACAAATCATCTTTTCCTCCTCCTCGTCCTCCTCCTTCTCCTCCCATTCATGCCTTCTCTCCCTTTCCTCCTCCCTTTTCCTGCCCTTTTGCCTTCTAACATTTCTCCTCCCCCCCTCTCTCTCTCTCTCCCTTCTCCTCACACCCCTCCTACCGTTTGGACTGCAGCAGTTTCTCCTCTGCCTCCTGTCTTTCTCTCAGCAGCGTCTGCAGGTGAAGGATCTCCGTCTGGTAAGACACTGTCCTCCCCTCCACCGCCTCCTCCAACGCTGCCAGTCTGGTTGACGCCTGGCTCCGGTACACCTGCACATACACATTAGCAGCACACAGACACGGAGGAATGAGATGTGGAGTGTTGCTATGAGAGGGGTGGATTTACATGAAGGACAGCGCAGCAGAAACAAGTGGAGTGGAGGAGGGGGAGTCTCACACGCTGGGACAAGGTGAGAAACAACAACAACAGCACACAAACACAAACATGCACACACAGAGATCAGTAGATTTTGTGGAAAGGATGGTGTGAATCCCTCTGTATTTCTTCTGCATGTGGTGTTTATTTGTCTGGTGGGCGTGTACTTGTCTTTGTGTCTGTGTATGTCTGTGTCCAGGAAATAGCAGTTTGTTATAAAGTTATACTTCAGTCATTGTGTCTACAGATGAGCAGCTGTTAGGCTGCTGACAGTTCATAACAACTGCTCGTAGTGCAGCACACACACTTCTACAAGTGGAAACAGGTGAGGGTTTTTTTTTTTTTACTGTGCACTGCTTTACTTCTGATAAAGTCAAGTAACAATCTACAAAAACTAGACTATAAGAAAAACTGTGTGGCAGAGAAAAATACAGATGCACAAAAAGACACAATGACAGTAGTTATAACACATGCTGCTGTTCTGGGCACTGCAGTCAGAGGAAACTTAGAACTGAGGAAAACAAGGTCTGAATAAGGACAGATAGTGTGTGTGTGGGGGTAGTAGCCATCTCTCAGCCTGTGTATTTGTGTGCGTGTGCAGTAGGAAAATTACAATGTCTGCCTCGGAAAGAGTAAAACGAACATGCTTTTTTTTACTCTTTTACTTTACGGATTAATTGCTTACTAAATAACTGGCTTCCCTGTATTTTATTATACGACATTCTTCACAGAGGCAGCTAGGCAAACTGCTTAATGTTTGAATACTGACGATGAATTTGATGCTCGTTTTTCTATCCACAAGGCTATGTCCCTAAGCTTTACACCGTTTCCTTTCAAATCTAGCAATTACGATACCCGATTAGAAGACTGTTGGGTTATAATTATCCAAACATGAGGCATTCACCCAAATTATGTTTTGACCCTAACTGCTCCTGGTTATTGTAGACTGAGGCAGAAGTGAAAACTCCTTCAAATAAAGCTTCTCTTCAAATATTTTCAGAGAAGCAACACCAGATGTTAAATGCTTTTTCCTTAGGCTAACTGTGGTCTTGTCACAGCAAAAGTATGAATGAACCACCTGTTAATTAAGTGTTGGAATTACATGGACAGCTTTGCTTCCTCTGTGACCTCAAAGCAATAATTTCTATAATTTTATATGCATGTGGCATACAGTTTTATCATTTCCAAGAAATTTAAAATGAGAAATGATTTTTTGCTCCAGCTAAAAAATGTCCTGACAGATAAATAGGTGAAGCAATGTGATTCTTTTTTTATTAAATGTGACTAATAATCCCTCTATTTATTTTAACCAATTATGAGTTCATACTACATTATGACCAGAGCTTAAATCTGTGACAAAACAAACAAGAAATTAAAATAAAATTAACAGAAATCAACAGCTTGCTGTGACATGATTATTGGCCGTGTTAATTATGTACCTATAACACATATGTGAACTAGTACTATCCCTTATCATACTGCCTGTGATAATTCCAATATGGATTTTTATTTGGCATATAGCGTCATATCACAACATCAGTGATAAAGTGATGCTATGCATTTCCATTTGCTAGCATATACAACAACGATTCAAGCCCAGACATGTCTGAGAACGAGGGCAGCGTGTCAGCCTCCAGTTACCATCAACAAAGCACAGTACTTGCAAAATATGCAAGAAAACTATTTTCTCTAAAAGTGGAAATAAAAAACATGTTTCACTGTTTATTGTGAGCACAAGATAGGATTCAATTTCAAGATTCAATTTCATTTTTTTTTTATATGACACAGTGGTGCAGGCTCTTTCAAAGCAAATCACTACCTAGGCTACCTTGTGCTTACATTTGACTTGCACTCTGTTAGATGTCAAATGTGTAATATTATGCCGCCACTATTTCACTATAATTCCGGGTGGAAATAAATTCAGACTTTGAATTAAGTAGTCTGCCATTAGTGACAGACTACTACTACGGAAAACGAAGCCCTTTGTTTTGTTTGCACTAAGAAACGCTGCTGCCTGTGAGCTGCACATATTGTTCAGTATTTAATTTTTCATTTATTTATGATATTATCATCGATAATATTGGGACATAATTTCAAGGCTATATTGTCTACTCCTAAAGTGCCCATTATAGCAGTTGCATGCCAACAGTAACATCACCATAGCTCTGTACCATTTATACCAGCAACATACAAGAAAATGAAAACCTTCAATAGCATATTATATGTATAGAAAAATGTATACATATATAACATTATCTTGAACATGAACTGAAATAATTCCCTGCATCAGAGTTAACATGACATATACATATATTTTTCATGTTTACAAAAAAGATTAATTATCCAGCATTCTACACTGAAATGGACACATTTCTACACTGAAATGTGTCCATTTCTACACATTTCTAGAAATGGACATTCTATTTAGTTTTATGGATGTACACTGGCAACATTAAACCAAATATAAGCTTTTATATTTTCTCTGATCATACAGTTGACACAATTCTCATCAGAAGTCTGTCATACTATACTGCTAGTAGAACCAAAATATATATCTTTTGATTTACAACTTGAATCTTAGGACAAATCATGACTTATTGAATTGAAGACATTTTTGCCTTACCAAGATAAACATGTTATAATCCATCCAGCCAGCCAGCCGTTTTCTTCAGCGATTCCAATTCAGGGTTGTTATAAAACCAAATCTAAATCATTTTGGTTTTCTTATTAAGATTGGTTCACTATGATAAGTCAGCCATAATTACACTGTGACAACAATAATCATTTATTGTGGGATACCAGCCTTGGTGTTTCAATGCGAGGCAGTTGTGTTCAGATGACAGCAACTCTTGCACATTAAATATTTGCACTTTTGGGTTCATTTTTCTCTTTGGCATGCACACAATGGTAGTTTTAAGGAATCCATATATTTAGTGCATTATCTGCAGAGCAACTCTAAAGATTCACAGGTGTTTTTCACTCAAACAGCTTCAATGTATCTGTTAGCCTTGTTATCTGCAAGATGCACTGAAAAGGCTGCTCTGATTCTATAAAGGTGTGTATACAAGAGGCCAGAGATTGCAAATAGCGTGATAGCAGGACAGAGAACATGCTGCAAGAAATGTATCTGACTGATTAAACGTAGGACCAGTTTTATTTACTAACACCTTATAAGCAAAGAGAGTGAGTTTTAAGTGCAGTCTATGTGTGTGGCTGTGATTGTGTTTTTTGTAATAGCAAGAGAAAGAAAAAGAACAGTGTAAGAATGACTAACAGTGCTATGGAATATACAACCACAGAGATGAAGCATAATTAATAATAACAATCTAAATGTAGCTAAAACAAAATAAATGAAGATTATTACATATGTGTAGCCTGTCTGTTCAATTTTACACAGGCTTCACCTGTAATATAACCATAGGCCACATCTCCCACTTAATCCAACAAAGGTGACTGCTCTCTGGAGGAGAGCATCTATGTGGTTATTAGGGGGTAGCATATGTCACCATCCGCCACCCTGTAGTTGTGTGATGTATTTAATGCTCTGACAAAGGGACAGCCTGTTTTGCTTTACTTCTCATGGACCAGGAATGACAAATTTAAAAAAATAAAAAAATAAAAAAATAAATAGGATTCTTCTCTTAATGTCTTGAAAACCACACAGAACCTAATTAAACCCCAATGAAAAACAACCAATAAACGAGCTGACTTAAGATGCATTGACTAAAACTGTCATTATGTCCTAAGACAACCAAAATAAATAACATAACACCATTTTTAATGCATTCGTGTATTGGTCTTAGTTTATAAAAGAAAATAGAAAAACAAAGGAGTGGAGTCCACGGGGTATAATAGTGCACACTCAGAGAGAAGTCAAACACATGCAAACATGTTTGATAAAAAGCAGAACATGCCAGAAATATTCAAGATGTATTTAACAAATGTTGAAAGCACAAAAGCAGCAGGGCACCGACCTTCACTCAGCAGGGTGGCTCCAAAGCCCCACCTGACAAGCAGAATCTAAATATTAATCTGAAACTTATCTGACTCCTGTCTTGCCTCCTCACATGCTGGCCGCTTAACCATTTAGGAGTCTCAGCCTTGAATATGGCCTCTGTCTCTGCCCAGCTGGCATGCTAATTCCCAGCTGAGCTCAGTGATGAATGGAATCGGTATTATATGTTGTCAAATCAAAATGTCTCCAACTCTCCAGGGAGTCAGCCATCAGCCCAGCTGAACTGGTGACATTTAGCCCTCACAACAAGCTGAGCTGAGCAACACAAAGCCAATATAGCCCCCATTCTAGCTGTATCCCAGGGGCTGCTGACCTTCTCCACACAGTAACAACAAAAATACAAAATAAATCCAGTATATTTTCTTCACATAAGTATGATTTAAGACGGATTAGAGTTGGAGTAAGGGTGGTTTGGGCTAGCAAATGATTTATTTTATTACCATTTTGACATTGAGAAAGAAATGGATTAACTCCTGAAAATCTCAAAAGAATGTATTAATTGAAAGTATGGTATAAAGAGCTCTACTCTGCAGAAGGACTTTTGCATAACAATACTTTAACCCCACATTAAATTACAACAAACAGCCCCAACATGAATATGAATTACATCAACTGTTATTGTAACCTGGTGTGTAAGATCAGATCGCTGACTGTCCACTTTAATCAGTCTAATAACATGTTGTCGGGTCAATGTGGTCAGGTGTTCTTCCATTTTGAAATAACCTATTTTGCTGCTGAGTCAGGAGCGCATCCCATATAGCTAGATACTGCTGATCAGCATGACCAATGGACAGTCAGACATTTCCCGCAGGAGATGGTCACAGAGGGGTTGAAGGAATAGCACAATGATCATGGAGCACATTGTGCAGAATGCAGAGA